TGAATTTATTATATTAATTAGATTATAATAAAAATGGGGGGGTTTGTTTAGAAACGAAACTACTAACAAAAAGAGAAATTAAACTAGAAACTAGAAATAAATGACTAAAATGCAAATGATGATGAAATGGAAAATAAATAAAAATAATCTAGCAAAGATGAGAATGGAATCGGTTCCAGGTCGGTCTACACCCTCGAATAACTAGCCCAATTAATGCTTTTATCAAATTTCACTCGTTTTCTAAAACTACCGGTCCTAGATAGCAATAAGCTCTGCTACCCGAATTTTCCCTTAATTTATACTTAATCGAAATAGGCTCTCCAATTAATTCTAACTAGCGAATAACTCGGAATAAGCTCTCCTAATTTAACCCACAATAGTGTTTAGCTACACATAGCTAAATGATAAAAACAAAAATAATAATTTAACATGTTCTTCAATCAAAATAAGAAAAACAAAAAATAAAATAGCAAACTCCTTTATTGTCCACGGCCGAAGTTAATATCCCGCAAGCATGAATATCTCCCCTTGGTGCCTTCTCTGTTCAAGTCGAGATGCCCTTTTATTATTTGCTAACTCCTTCCTTTTTCCTAATGCCACGCAGACCTATTCCCATAAAAATTAAGTCTCCAGCCAAAATCCATTTCCTTTTGCCCAATCATTTAATAAAATGAGTCCAACCAAAATCAAATTCCATTCCAATTCCTTAGCCCAACAAACTTAAGAGTCCATCTCCTAGAAATATTCTACCCAGCCGCCACATCCACCATTCCAGCATGCTTTTAAATTATTTCCTAATCCTCTAATTAATGCCACATCAACTACTAATAATAGTCATTCACTTTGACTAACAAAAATTCCAATACTGCTGCAAGTGTTCGGCCCAGCCAAAGTTGTAATTCAATTTAATTTGCCACCTCAACAATGCCACGTCACAAATAGGTGTATTAACTGCAAAATAAACACAAAATCGAATATTGGTGTATGTCCGTTCACAAAATAAAATACGTGAGAAAACTTATATAATACACTAAAATCAAATACTCCAATATATAAATTAAACCCCAAAATAATACAAGATTTCTCACGTATCATGTATATATATATATAAATATTTATAAGAAAGTAATATTTTTATATAGCTCGAGTGGTTTCGTTATATTGAACAATAAAGTCGACATCGAACCGAGATAATCAAAATTTTAAAAGTAAATACAAATAATCGGATCAAAATATAAAATTCAAACCCAAAACTTTGTGTGTCCGATTCGACTGCTATAGTGCAATCTGATAGTCACTAATGTGCAATTCGTCTAACGTTAATGTGCACTCGAAGCGCAACTATTTATATTTAAATATATTTAGTATTTTAATATTTTTATTTAATATTTTATATTATTTTTTGTTGAAAAAATATGATATATACATATGTATAAAAGTATAAAAATATATATAAAAATAATATTTTGTATATATTTTATATAAATTACAAATTTTGCCCTTGGGCTAAATTGACCTATATCAAACCTCTTAAAGTTTTAGTAAAATTATAGATTTGACCCTAAGTCTTAAATTGTAATTTAGATAAAATAATTATACAAATCTAAATTAATTTCCCAAACACAATCCGTCTCCTTCCCAAAAACTTCTCCTTCCCAAAACCTTCCCAGCGACAGAGCATCCGCCGACTATCTCAGCCACGGGAAGACCTCACCTGTCTGCCACAATACTCTCGAGTTTACTTTAGATTTTGTGCTAATTTTATGTTTGATTTTGTATTCTTCGAATTTGGCCGGTAAATTGCTGTGCTTGCCGGAATTATTCAAGCTCATCGGCGTGGGTGAGTTTCTTCCTGGGCGACCTAATTCCAGCCTCCAAATGCTCGAGGTCGGATGTTCTCAACGGTGATTTGGATTGCAGCCGGAATTTCTGTTTTTGTCGTTTGTCTGACTGGATGTAGAGGGCGGAGAGCGGCGTTGATTGGAGCAGTAATCGGGCTGTTGGAGGTGACATGCGGCGGTGTAGCGGCGGTGGTCCGACGGCGGTGCAGCGGCGGTTCCGATGGCGGATGGCGAGAACCGGCGGTGCGTGTGGTCTATTGTGTGTGTCGTGAAGTGTGTGTGTGTGTGTGTGTGTGAAATGTGTCTGTGCGTGTCAATGTCGAGGAAGGTGATGACAGGCTGAAAGAGGCGGCGCCGGCGGTGGCTGGTGGCGGGGGACCGGCGGGTGTGTGTGTAGCCGAATGTGTGTACTGTGTGGGGTGCGTGTTACTGTGTGTGTGTGCGGGGAAGACAACGGGAAATGAGATATAGGGCCCACAGCCCACTTGACACAATAAATGGTCTATTATACCCTTAATGAGTGTAAAAAATTGAGTTTATTATGACCATTGGATGATCAGATTTTGTGGTCCAGATTTATTCTTATTTCTTTCATTCCATTCTCATGTGAGCGCGACCCTATATATATATATGCATATTTTCCCAAAATTCGGGCCTTGGTCCAAAAGCTCTCATCTTAATTTGTGTTGGCCATTGTTTTTTCAACAGACATATATATTATGTTGGGTTGGGTACACTCACAACACGTGAACACTAACGTACTCTTTTACTTAAACTCTTGGATGCTTGAATTATTGGGATGATTTGCAAATGAGGTGATCTTGCCTATTTATGGAGAACCCTTCCTCTAATGAACTATCTAGAACTAGCTACACTCATTAGGTTTTCCTAACACTCTTGCCCCTTCTAGACTATTCTAAAACTTACTAATATTATGTACAATGTTCTAGACTCATCCATATAAGCCTACTTCCTACAATATTTTACAACATTCTAGTAATCTCTATTGCCTTCTAGAATCTTCTACATCCTTCAACTAGCTTCTTCAAGCTTCTAGATCCTTCTACAATATTTCAGAACCTTTCACATTTTTCCGGGTCGTTCTAGATGCTTCAGAAATCTTCCACAATGTTCCACGACATTCCACATTTTTTCGGATTGTTCTAGATGCTTCCGGGTCCTCAAAAGGAGGTGTTGATATTTTAATATATTATAATCAAATGAAAATTTCATGCTTAAAAGTAACATGAACAAAAATATGACATTTTAAGTATACATTTTTGTTACAAATGTATAACGAATCAGATTCTCCTAATGGTATAAGAATTTGTGGTTTTGTAAAAACTTGATGTCTCACAAGTTTCTTGAATGATTTTGCAGTCTTAACATGATCAAATAATAATATCAGGGGCCAAGCACACATTATTGTGCCTAAAGCTTGTGCAACTTATCTTTATGACATGTAACACACACAACATTTTCAAAGGTATAATAATGTAAGGCTGAAATTATATTAAAAAACAAGGGAGAACAAAACATAGCCCATGATTCATTAAAGTGGGTTAGGCTTATTTAACAGGCCCATCCATCTTCCATGTGTTACACGCACTATCAATATTTTATTCTATTTTATTTTTTTTTTTAAAAAAAATTCTAAATGAACTATTGTAATTAGGTTTATAACTATAAGTAGATTTTATTTAAAAAAAATTATATGGTGATAATATGACAGAAAATTTGAAATAAACCAACTTTTGTTTCATTAAGATGGCTGTTAAGCAAATATAATTCAACATTNTGAATATACATATATATATATATATATATTCAAACTGAAATATAATACTAAAAATAAATAAAAGCAGTCCAAATTCTTTTAATAGGCATCCAAATTATTGGGATCATCTCTATATACGTAAAACTAAAGAATAACTTGTACAAGAAGATTATTATAATATATACTCTATGCACGAATCATGCACAATATTTTATTTAAAATACACATGACAACGATGTATCAGACAATTATTCATTGTTATTCACCTCGACCAGAATTTGTTCAAATTGTGTATAGCTCAAAATTGGTTTAATTGAGTTAAATTTCGAGGTACTCCTATCAAATGTAGTTTGATTTGAAAGATAATTAATCACTAATAGTTTGTTAACTTTTAAAGTTGCATATGACTGTACCTAAAACAAAAAAGTTGAACAATATGAAGAATAATATTTATTGAAAATTCGAATTTTGACGCCAAATTATTGGGAACTTGTATGTACCATGTTAATTTTGGATCAAAATTTGGACGTGTGATCAAAATTATCCCCAAATTAGTTAATTTCTTTTAAATAATAATGGGACTTTTATTTTTGTTTTATTGAGTTCCAATATAATTTGAAGATTCTACATTCTAATTCAAACTAGGTAAGAATTCTAAAATAAATTGAACTAGAGTAAAATTACTATTAGACATACATACTAATAGTTAACTTTTATTACCATAAATTCTTTTGTTAAGGAAAAGCTCAAAATGGGGCCTAGAGCCAGTTTGCATGGAAAACGAAGGGGATTTTTGGTAATCTTATCAAATTTTTTACTGCCCCAATACTTATTGCCCTTTTTCAATGTCGTCAGCACAAAAAATAAATATAAATATAAAAATAAAAATAAACTCACAATCTTTTGTCGTCTTAGGCGAATTTTTGCACAAAAACAAAATAACCCATGAAATCAGCTCAGATAGGACATCAAAAGAAAGCTTAAAAAGCAAAAAAATTCAGCTCAGGTACACACACTTTTCATTGCTCCCTCTCTCTTTCTTCAATTTCTGGTGAGCTCCATTTTCTCTCTCTACCCTATGTACCTCACTGTGTGCAGTGTATGTGTGTGTTTTATATTAATTTTCTTTAGAATTAATTGCATGCAAGAATGAAAAAAAGCACACACAGGCACACACCAGAAAAACAAGGGATCTCATCAAGATGTCTTNTTGTGTGATGTGTGTGTTTTATGGGAATTATTAGAAAAGATTGTCTTTTCACTGCATTTTTTGAGTTTTTTGTTAATGGGTTGTGTGTTTCTTGAATAACTTTCCTTGTCTGGTGGTCAAAGCAGGAAACTTGATCAACATAATTGTGTCAGATTTTATTTTTTCTTTTAACTTCACTTTTTAAAGATTTGATTTTTTATTTTTTATTTTTTGGTAAAAATGTGTCTGCAGCAGGCAGCAGACAGAGTAAATAATAAATGGAGGGTACAAAATTAAAAGCTTTCGCTGCAGAAAAATGAAAGTGAAAAGCAAAAAAATAAAAAAGAAAATAATGTGAAAATATAAATCCCATGCATTTATGGTATTGAGATTCTTTTGTTGCCTCATTTCGTATCAATTCATCATATCACAGTTTATCAGCTGTCTCTCTCCTCACTTTCTCTCTCTCCCACATACTACACACACTGCTATTCACTTTTCCTCATTATTCCTGTACGTTTTCTTTTTCACCCTTTCTTGAAGACAATTTTGTTGTTTAATTAAAAATTTTAATCTTTTTCATATATGCTATTTTGTGTTCTGTTTTCTCTTCTTTCCTTTCTCCCCAANGATATTATTACTATTTAGAAATGGGCAAAAGCAATGAGGATAGAAAAGAAGAAAAGAAGAGAAAGGGAAGAATTTTGTGCTGTGAAAGGGAGGGTTTAAAGAAAGGAGCTTGGACTGCTGAGGAAGATAAGATTCTTGTTGATTTTATTACAAAAAATGGGCATGGGACTTGGAGAAATCTTCCTAAACTTGCAGGTTTTTTTTTAATTTTATTCTTTTTAATTAAATAAAAGTTAGCTCTTTTATTCAGCATTGTTATCATCTAATTAATGTTCATCTAATGCTTTTGAGTCACTATACATTGATGCTTTCATTACCTTTTCTTTTTTCTATTTTTTTTTTGGATGACATTTTTAGGCCTTTTGATGAATTGGGATCCTTAATGTCATAGCTAAACTAAATGATAATTAATAAATATGAAAATAGAAAAGGTCACTTAAATGGGGTTCTTGATAGTTGTAGCAAATAAAAATGAAAATGATACTTCTGTTGGGATTAATGCTTAGTAAATGCAGATATTAACTTTGATGGGTATATATGTATGTTTTCTTATTTTCTGATAGATGTAGCCTGAGTGCAAAGTAAGGAAAGATTGTGTAAATGAGGTTGAAATTCAATTTAACTTCCATAGAAATTTAGTGTCCTCTGCTAATTTTCTTTGAATTTTTGGGCATTTTGTTTTATGTCTTGAACAGTTCATAAATGTATCGGTGTAAAATTTGCCTCGGTCGAAAATTAAAAAGCGAAAGTAATCACATTAGGTGCTAGACTAAGCGTTAGGTGGCTCGATTGGCGCCTAGCGCTTTATTTTTCAGATTTTTCAAGTCACTTTTTTTTTTCAAGTATGAGCAATTGAAATATATAAAAACGAGCAAACGAATATAAAAATGGTGAGTTATAAAATGCAGGATACTTGTTTAGTTACTTAAGTATAGCCTGGTTTTGTATTTGCTTTTGTCCCTCAATTTTTTTCTTGAATGATAGCAAAAGAATTGGTCGTCTTGTATATATTGAATTCGTTTGAGATATAAAAAAAATTATTCTAATAATGTTCCCAAAAGAATCTTATACCGAAAAAACAATTCCTCAATATAAATTGCTATTGCTCGGCATTTACTATTGCTGGTACCGTATTTTGTTCTTTTCCGATGTTTATTGTTTATCACGCCTTTTTGTCATGAAGTGTGTGCGTGTGCTCGATATCGACAAATAATATCGCTAATCTGCAATAATGAGAAAAGTATATGATTTTCGTCAAATTGTGCCTTGTGCTCATTTGTTCTTTGTTAGGATCGATAAAAATTTGTTAACTATCATCATTTGGAAGTTACACTATTCTATCCAAGTTCTTTTTTACCATGCATTATTATATGTTTTTGAAGTTATATTTATGTTTGTTATGAAACATGTATAAGAAGGCGAATTTTCTTGAATGAGAAATGAATTTTTTCAGGGCTGCTTCGTTGTGGGAAGAGCTGTCGACTTAGATGGACAAACTATCTTCGACCCGACATAAAACGAGGTCCTTTTACTCCCGAGGAAGAGAACACAATTATTCAACTGCACGAGTCGCTTGGTAACAAGTAATTAATTAACTTCCTCTGCATTTCAATTGAAATTTGTATTCCCTTGTTTATGGTCTCGTTTATCAAAAGATAAAAAGCGACTTTTTGTTCATATAAAAGAAGAGTTATGTTTGTTTTGTTTTCTTATAATAAATCTGACTTCCTATCACGAAACTTCGATCAAACTTAACAAGAATCTTGAAGTAATGGAGTGTTGGCTTCTAAATTTTCCTATTCTGCTTCTGGTTTAGTTCAGTTCAGTTCGACTTTCATGCATGAAGATAGTTTTATTCGTCAAATGCCCGCGATTTTACAGTATTTCAAAGAGTTCCAAATTTTACATTACATTATTCAACTTTTCGATATATATTTTACATTACTTCAAGAATCTTGAAAGTAAGGGAGTGATGTTCTAAATTTTCGTATTCTTCTTCTGGTTCGGTTCAGCTCGACTTTCATGCATGAAGATAGTTTTATTCGTCAAATGCCCGTAATTTTTCACATTATTTCAACTTTTCGATTATCTATATGTCGACTACACTTCAACTACACTTCCAATGCTCGACTACACTTCTACTAAAGTTCCAAACTTTTTTTTTTAATTTTTATTTCCATTTTTTCAGTATCGAAACATTATTTCTCGTGCCACGTGTCTTTATATTATTCGTCCAGGTGGGCCGCCATAGCCTCCCACTTACAAGGAAGAACCGATAACGATGTCAAAAACTTCTGGAACTCACATTTGCGAAAGCGCTTTAGCAACCGAGCTCTCGACCCGAAACCGAAACCGAACTCGAACCCAAACTCTCCCGTGACCCGCCACATGGCGCAATGGGAGAGCATCCGCCTGGAGGCCGAGTCTCGACTCTTGTCCAAACCGGGGGGCCCACAGCAAGGCGATTATTACTTAAACCTATGGAACTCAGAAATCGGGACTTCCTTCCGTAGTAATAATAAAGTCAACGATCTCGCACCACCAAACTCCTCCCCCCAGAATTCGTCCGTCACGAAAGTCGAGTCTTGCAAGAAAAGTGGGGACACTTGGCGCAAAACCGAGGTGGATGACGTGGCGACGGCTCGTTCGGACATGACTTCGAAATCATACGAGGATCATCAGTTGATGATGCATGATGATGACTCGTCGGATGGTATGATGAAATTGCTGCTCGATTTTCCATTGGTGGACGATTATGACCTGGCGTTTTTTGGGGGAGCCGACGTGTAGTTGGGTTTTGTGTGTTAGTTTTCTCTTCAGCATTATAAATAGGAAGTAAAGAGAAAAGGAGAGAGAGAGAGAGAGAGAGAGAGAAAAGAAAATAGAAAGTGAAGCTTTTTGTCTTTGTTTTGCTTTGGATCTAACAAACTACTAAGCTTCAAGTGTTTAGCTGCCAAATGTGGTTTTTGAACTTTTTATATACTGAAACTCTCTCTTTTGTATGTAATGTAAGTAGCCATGTTCTTCTTCTTGAGTTAACTCTTCGGAGAATTTTCGATTAATCTCTGTACATAATCGTTAAGTTGATCGATCGATTTCAGACATTTGTGTTCAAACAGTTTCTGCAAGTTTTTTGTTCNTGTACACAACATGAAAAATCTCAAAAATCTCTTGAAAAACCTGATATTTTTGTTCTTGCAACATGTACAATAACAATTATCAAGTATACTCCATAATGTTTTTCTCTCTACAAACAAATAACACATTACACCACCAACTTTGGAGTTTGCACAAAACACAACATAGCAAATGAGAGCAACAAAAAAATTATCCTAACACCAAATCACCACAATCTCTCACAAATACATATGAACCAATAAATACAAATTTTGGAACTTTCTATTTCATGTTCAATTTGAGCCGACTTCAAAAGCAGCCGAGCAGGTTCTTGGGAGCAGTCCCTGTGGCTCGGTATTTCGCAGCTGTTTCTTCTGCTTTGAGAAGATCTTCACCTCGTTTGGCTTCGATTATTGCCCTTTTTTCTTCGGCTTCCTTGTGAATGAGAGCAATTTTGTTCTTCATTGCCTCGATATATTTTGCTTTCTTTTTTTCCAGATTCTCCTATATATGGATCGAGTAAACATTCGTGTGTATATATAAGATAATCATTCACAGAAGAATGAATTGGTTGCAATGCATTGTATTTGAATCATACGCAAGACAATTTCAATATGCCAAGCGCGCAATTTCCCACATTTAAGCACTCTACTAAATTGCAATTTGAAAGAATAAAGGGATCAAAACAAGTCCTTTGTGTAGCCAAGGGACTATTTTTGCTGTCAAAGTTTGTAACTTTAAGCAAAAGTGATGCATAATAAGAAACATAATTCGTATGGGTAGTTCAAAATAAGATCAAATATGTAAAACTCATAAAATTATTTACCTCGATCTTTTTAAGCTCGGCCTCTAGACTTGCTTTCTTGCTATTCTCCCAAGCTCCAATAGCAGATAATTCCTTTTGGGCCCTGTAAATTATTGACTGTACGCAATTAGCTACACACCAGCATCCTTCTAAAGTTGCACTATCCAAGTAAAAAGTCCAGTTCTTTATTCTTGTTTCACTAAGCATGATGATAATAAACTCATGAACCAATAATGTATTGAAACGACACAAAAGTAGCAAATTTTCAGACAAAGTTTGGTCAGATCATAATAAACATGCATGAATCATTTGAGAACTCTATATAACTACACTTTTAATACGCTTGATGAGGAACAGATTTGTTTAAATAACACTTCGCCCCCTAATTCTCCCAAAAAATGACAACACAAGGTGGATTATATACAAGAAATAATGCATACTTGTTTTCAGCTTTACACTTCTCACTTTCTTCCCATGCTCTGACCAGAGAGAGTCTTTTCTCGGTCGCCACACGAGCCAAAACAGCATCTACCAAAGCAATGAACAATCATCTGAGTAAGTTTTTTTCTTTTTTTATTTATTTCTATATATATAATGCAGATCGTGTGAGAATGGAGTACCTCTGTTGATAGAGCCCCCCTCTGGTTTTTTCTCCTCAGAAGCTGCTGTCTCTGTTTGAAGTAGAAACCCAGCAAAAAAAATCAAAAGTTGAGATGAGCTGTAATTTTATTAATTTGCCAAGAAACAAAGATGAAGGTGAACTGCAGATCTTGAAATACAATTTTGACATTTTGGTTCAAGGGTTTATTTCACTAAAATTTAGAACTTCATCAAACCAGATTAAATTTAAAACTTAACACACAACACATACACAGAGAGAGTGATGCTAAAGTTTCTAGTTTTCACCGAAGAACAGATCTTTATTGCCCAAACAAGCTCAAAAAACATGTAACCGCTTTCCAAATACACAAATAAACCCCCAAAATCATCAGAAAAACAAGCAAACACATACCAAGAAAAAAAACAAAATTTTTTAAAAAGGGGTGTATTTTACTTTCAACCACGACAAGGGCTTTGCAGTCATCAGCTTTCTTCTCAGTGGGAGGCAGCGGAGCAACGGTTTTCTCCTCGGCCACGTCTTTCGGAGCCTCCACCGGCTCAGCCGCCACCGCCGGAGCTTCCGAGGAAGGCTCCGGCTCCGGCTTCGACTGCGGCTCGGCCTTCTTGGGCTCTGCCTCCGCCATCACTTCAGAAAACTTAGCTATGTTTGCTTCTAAAATGAGATGAAAAAAAAAGCAGTTAGATAAAGCCAACAAAAGAAAAAGCGAAGATGGAAGGTTTATTAGAGGTCTATGGAGTCACAAATTGGAACTTGTGGAGGGGGGAGAGAGAGAGAGATGGATGAGAGAGAAAGTTGGTTGATTTTGTATAAATATAATGGCGGATTTTTGACCTATTGTGAGCTGGCACACCATGACGACGCCATAGCCCACAGGTTATATAAAAGCTTGAGAAAATTTGCAGTAAAATTGTTTGCAGGCAAAATTTGCTTAAAAGGAGTACTAAAAATTATATATACTTACTAATTATTGCATTGGGAAGGGATTTTACGTATTATCCACCACTTTGGGGCTGATATTTTTGGTATTTTTTTAAAGTTGCTATTATTATTTTCTTTGTGTTTCTTTAATTAATGAATGAACTTCCCACTAGCAAAAAGTAGTTCCCTCATTTAAAAGTAAATTAATTAAAAATAAAGCTATGTTTTTCAAATAATAGATTCTAAAGTTATTTATGATTTTAATTAGTAGCTAAACTAGTCTTACTTATTTGGTCATGACAAAAATTTCACTTATTAGAGGCAGACACGTGTCTCCAATATACAAGCTATTACAATTTTGCAAAGCAAATGCAGGTGACCTGGGCATCATCACAGCTTGTTTAATTACAGCGGTTGGGAGAAAAAAAAAATTGTATATTAAGCAATTGTTAATAACTAAATTTTTGTATAACAAGAAAAATATAAAAACTGGAACGTGATTTATTTTATTTTTGAGTATATATTAAAATAGTGGTCCTAATTCTTACCTGCCTTTTAGCTTATGTACCGTTAGAGAATGCTATTATTTGCAGTTTTGCATGTTATCTTTCAAAAGCCATTTGGCTGCTGCTTTGTTTGGCAACATTTTCTAAAGTACATGTGATGCACACGAGATTGCATTAGCATATCTCGACAAGTTTGATCGATTCGTTTTATTAGTTTGAATATTATTATTATTATTATTATTATTTATGTGATATTCGACTTGTTGTGTGGGCTTTAATTAATAGTAATTAGAACTTCATATAATATTTAAAGGCAGTTGTCTCTCATTGTACTGGCGGTTTTTGAGAGAATGAAAGAAAATTATTGTTCTCGTTAAAACTTCTCTCAGATTTTGTTCAATTTCTCCTTTCATGCTTTGCTACATCAACATGGCACGTTGCTGTTTTCAGCTGGAAATGGAGTTTTTATTATATATTAAAAAAATCCAAATAGTTAATGCTTTGCAGTGGTGTTTATATTAATTCTTGGCTTGTAAGATAGACAAAATTTCATTCGATTAGACATGAAGTTGGTTATGAGGTTACCAGTGTAATTTTTATTTTTTTTTTAGGGCGTGAACATATATAAATATATCTACTCAAAACAAGTTTTTTTTGTTAACTATGATTAATTTTAAAAAATGTATATAATTAGTTATTAGTGATATTTTAAATTTATATTAAAATAATATTTAAAATAAAATAATTAAAATACACGTAAAAGAAAAAATGATGTGAAATGATTGTTCATTAAAATTATATGAATAAATGGACAAAGAATTAAAGTTTATTTGGTGATTGTTAATTCAAAAAACCCATAGCCCTCAATAATTCTTCACTCCACCATGCTCATGGGCCTTAAGTTCATATATCTGCAAACATAATACCCATTTTTCTCCATTTCAACTGAAATAGCCGGACTCGAACTTCCTCACGAACCGAGTTGTATTCGCGAACAACTCAGTTCGAGTAACACTTCCACACAAAATATTTGAAATATATTTGACTGTAAAAAAGTACTGCAAATATTCTCAAACTTTAAAATCTCCTAACCCAAATAATACAAATTTCCCATAATAATTATATATTCTTAGAACCGCACCCCGACATAATTATAATATACACAACACGGCCAAATGCACGATAGTTCGTCGTTTACTTCTAACACAATGAACAAACACAACGCGAATAGAATACATTGAATAAACGGGACATGAAAGCCACCATATTCATATGGCCGAGTAACTGTATTCATCTTCTTGATGGGCCTGTGAGAAAGTGGTTAATATAACAAAAGTGCCGTATAAGATTGTGACAATGGCAGTGAAATTCACGAGGAAGGCTTCAGGCCCGTATTTTTCGAGGCCCGTGTTTTGGAGAAAAGTGAGCTTCTCGAGGTAGCCGAGTGAGGCAGTCCCAATAGCCAAGATATAAATGAAGAGCCCGAAAAAAACGTGCCATGGGAGAGATTCGCTCCTCATCGATATTGTTCCTCCCGGGTAAAAAAACACGAGGAAACCGTAAAGCCACTGCAAATTGTTTCGTGAAAGTTGTTGAAAAAATAATTAGAGGTGTTTTTTGTAAAACCAAAAGAAAAAAATAGGAAGAGTACCTAGTTTAATAAGATTATTGTGTTGGATATAAGTTGTTAGTTGTTACAAAGACTTGAAGAGTTAAAATGGGCCTCACTACGAAAATATCATTTGACAATTCACTCGGAAAGAAAGAACGAAAATGTGGGGTCTGAAGTATTTTTTTCCTATATAAGGTGTATGTATGCAAGATGATATAAAATCACACGGGTATTTTACGTCATTTTGAAAATTC